AAATTCTACATTTTTTTCCCACAGAGAAACTATTCGACTTACAATAAAAGCAACGAAATCGAAGGATGTGTTTACACGATCGATACCCGAACCACGGTGCCTGGGATCCCCGTGCTCGAGGCATGTCTCGCATAAACAAGAGGTACGGAGCGCGGAGAGAGTAATAATAACCTCCGATCATACTTCAACGAATTGTACGCGGGAGAGATGTGTCTAGGGTGAGGGACGATTTCCAGGGACGAGAATGCGAAGAGCTCTCCCTCGATTCCCGCCAGGACACGGCTCTTCGTGCACCGTTAGAGAGGGAACGACGGAACAGAGCCCGGGCACCATGATTTCCAATTCACGCCAGCAATCCCCGGTTTTAAAAGCGACGTAAACGCGAGAGAAGGGTGAGCGCTGCATATCAGTATTCGACGCGCAAAAGGCAACCTTGCATTCTGCGATTCGTAACGCGCAGAAAGGGCTGGCCAACCCCTCGACGCAGGAGAGGATTGCGGATTGATAGAGCGAAGGGGGTTCGCCATCGAACGCCACCACCGAGGAGATTATTCGAAACCGAAGGGCAGTGTCGGGGAACCTTGAGGCTGGGTGGGCTTAACGAGATTCTGAATGCACAAAAAAGGTCCTGAGAAGGTTGGCCAGTCCTTGAATGTCGATCGATGACGAGCACGGGCAGGTAAACGGTTGATCCTTAAACGGAGATGACGATAGAACGAATGTAGTTAGAATTCTGTGCGAGGAAGAAAAATGAGACATTTAACGGTGATTCGGTGTTATACGTTCACGAAGACCCTAACGAGGTTGAAAGTTATACACCAGACATGTATCTAGACGGATCGCTTATCTTTATCCTTGTAAGGATAACGAGAGCAATTCCCTAACCACAGTTGCACGTGAAAGGGGCTTCAGACGTTCAATCTCGTCTACCTGAGGCTTCCAAGGCAGTTTCAAAACTCCCACTTTCGAATGCTTCGCAGCGATCGAGTTGCTCGACTTGCTCATGGTTAGCCATAGGGTTACTCGTCACGTTGCCATGGGAGGGCTCCCGAGCAGAATTTCGAGGGTTCGAGTGCGGTTCCTCCCGCGTATGCACGCAAACCGCGTTGGATACTGGCGAAAGGTATTGATCGTCTCCCACTGGTTCCAGTTCCCGTTAGAACCATCGACAGACGCGGGAATCAAGTGCTATTAAGGCGTAGGACTGGTCTCGATCGCAAAAAAAAAAACAATTGTTCTGCTTTAATTTAATATAAATTATACTAGATACAATTCAGGGAATGTTCGATAAGAGTCGCAAAGAAGAGTCTTATCACGCCGCGACACTTATTGACCGAAGTATGTGAAATTCAGTAGTACCAAGAAGCACGCAACGACGTCCATCGATCATTGTACCTCTTCTAGGAAATAAAAATATTGTAAAAAAAAAAAAAAATAAAAAGCGGGGCGTCCAAAATGGCCATAAGAGCTTATCGCACGATCAGCCGTCGCGATGAAATTCTGTCGAGGAATGTGGATGGATGGTTCGTTTTTATTTTTGCGAGGCCCCCAAGGGGTGTGTCATAAAACGTGAACCGTCTTTTCACGCGGTGGAAAATCTCCCGTGCGCGATTCGTCTCGCGGTAGGAATGAAAGGAATCCGCGCGCAGCGTACTTATCCCATACGGCTGTAAACCTACGGGTCCGCGCGCATTTGCTCCGTGCCCATTGTTGCTTCTAATAAAGCGTGGCCCTTTTCTGAGTTTGCAAGAGGAATAAATAACGCGAATGCCCTCCTGAACGATGGAAACTAAAAGAAAAAAGTGAGCGAGCGCGAGAGCGACAGAGAGCACAAGGTATTTTTATGGGCTACCTTCGTCGAGCCACAGTACGCATTGAGACGAAAGGTTGCGCAAAAGAGCCAGATGTAAAAAGAGCAACCCTGCCCTTCCCACCGTTCACCCTATTTTATAAAATACGCAACGCAGCCACGACGCGTACATTGCGCGGTGGAGTATTCGGCTTTAAAATTCGAGGAACATTGCAGAACATTAAAGAATCCATTTTTTTTTCTTACGATTTTTTTGTTTAGATACTTTCAGCACTGAATAAATATGTGAGAAGGGAAGTTACACTTAAATAGTTGTGTTTCATTTGTGGGTTTGAAACTGAGCAACAATTTTTGTTGTCTTTGACGGAGTTCACTATTTTGAAGTTTGTAATACTCTCATTATATAAATACTCCACCGTGCATCATACGAATATTCCAAGCTCGTTCTCGACGCGGGAACGTCAGACCGTACTGGTTGCAAATTAACCCCTTCGCTGGCGATGTTTTTTCGGCGTCGTCAACCCCCCCGTCCCCCCAGAGGACCCGGCAGGTCCTGCCAAGCAGAGTATAATGGGGTGACTACGTTATGGTTGCTCGTTTCGAAGCACCGCCACTTACCAAACTCCGAAGGGGAACTCGGACCTCTATTTTGCTAGTCATCCTTTTCTTCATCCGCTCGTACGAGCTCCCAAAACAGCGGGTAATTTGGTGTTCGAGAGACTGACGCATACGGGCAGAGTTTCTCGAAATCGTTGGTGAAAATTAATATTTTCGCTTCTGAGGTAAATTGTCGAAACACGAACAGATTTTTACAATGTATCACAAACATTGAATCTACTGTTGTTTATAGATCAATACTGTCTCGCTATTCTGACCATGACTTTGTGAAAATTTATCTACACGAGACGCATCGTGAGCGAGGGTACAGACAGTCACTTTTGCTCACCATAAATTACCCACGGTTCTACGGTTATCAAATCAATTTTGTCACGCGCGTTGATATTAATTTCACCACCCCTCCCGACCTTGCCACGTGGAATATAATCGCGCACGTTATCGGGCAAATTTACACCGTACACGTAAACCGCGTCGTTGAATCAATTTGTAATCCATCAATTCCCTGTGGTCGATCGCATTGTGTCCGCACTCCCATTAATGAAAACAAGGGGCGATTAATGTGCGTCCAAGAACATTGGAAAACACCAATTCACGTTTTAAAATTGATATGTTACTCAAAGCGTTTCGAAATGAGTGTTACACTAAAAATAGATAAGGAAAGTGGAATAAAATTGTTTTGCCTGTGGCTTCATCATCAAAGAAATCTATTTTAAAATCTATTACAACTTCACAGAAGTGTCAGTATTCGCCATCTTTACTTGGTCTCTACAAATATTGACGATGGCAGAATATTATCTACTTGTTGTTGATTTGACTAGGTAGAACCAATTAAAACTGACGATACGTTATCAGCGACGATATTTGCAGACGCCAAGGACAAGTAGAAATAACGGACGATCACCTCAGCGAAACCATATCTAATTGCAACCGCTTAACACGAGTCCACGTGTATAATCTATTGCGCTTGTTTAGATTATTATTATTGTAGAAAAACAAAATAAAGCCCCTTTGTCATCGCGAGCCGCCACACGTGTCGCTATTGGGTCGTCCTTTGAAGACGCCGCGTTCTAGGAACGAGCGTTTCGGCGACACCCTCTCAAAAAGCCAAGTTTCTGGTCAAGCCTTCGCGGAAGTTCAAAGGGAGAGGAGTGCGACGAACTGTTACACATTGTTCCTATTTATTCGTGGAATCCATTCTCGACAAAGGAACCTCTTTCGATTGTCTTCGAAGGCGAATCGATAGAAATAGAATTGCTCAGAAAGATTAAAAGCTGTACATATAACATTCGAGTCCCATGAAATGGTGGCGTAGACTGTAAATCGTCGAGATGAAAAAAACATGAAAAGAATTCCGAGCAGTTTCGCGGGTAACGCGAGGCTTATTGCGTCGTATCTCGTCCTGTATCCTTCCTCGACATCGATCGACCTACCGCAATGCGTGTACGCATACTCGGTGCGGGGGTGGAGGATCAAAACGTTGCGTCAGGCTCTCGACTCCTTCGAAAATATTATTCGGGGTGTACACACGCCGGACGCGTTGCTCGGTATTGCGGTTTAATAACAAACACGTATTGCGTCGCGTGACCGAGCACCCAGGGGAGGGTGTAAATGCACGCGAGAACGCAGGGGGTTGCTATTGATTTTCCCCCCTTCGTATTTGGGGTAGGACGACAGTGTTACGACGCAGTTCAGCAAAGCGACACTGGAGCCCTGGGAGATCCCCGTAAGGCAAAGATGAGCAAAATTTTGGTAAAGTAACAAATAAAGAAGCATTTCGCGATGGATGATTAAAGATTGACCCGTTAATCCGAGTTAAAATAATAAATTGCTATCGGTAAGGTAAGTTTGCCTCCGAGGGGCAGAGTGATCTCTGCCCTGTCTACACGCACACGCAAAGAAAGAAAGGGGCCACCCACTCGCGTGAGAGATTATTTCGGTGAGGTCATGGTGAAGATACGTGACGCACATGGATCCCCGTATCTGGATCAAGGACGACGATGGTTAAGGGCTCGAGACCAGCAGTAAACAAAATCATGGCCGTCGCGAGACGAAAACCATTTCCAACCTAGGCTTTTATTATCGCTGTTGAGCATGTTAGGGTCGATGGGACGGCGCAGTTCGTAGAAGAGACGAGAATGCATCTTTTCACTCCGAATTCAGCGAAGTAACGAAACTAGCCACCGATCTGGCCTTGCTACTAATTAACCGAGTCATCGTCAAATGCTGCTAAAAGTATTAATTATATTCATGACGTTGTAAATATTAATAGAGAAACTCGTACGCGAGCAAAGCTGGAACATACTAGAGCGATTTGTGGAGGTAGAGAGAAAACTGCGGATAGAAATTTCCCAAGGAAGATTTAAAGTGGGAAGGATCGCGCTCTACGTCTTGACCTTGCTCTATCGCGTACCTTCCGCTTTAAGGAAGCGTACAGTTCGCTTCTTCGCTTTCCTGCCGCTCTAGCGGGGTTACTGTTTCAAACTTTCCCCGACTGCCATGCGCACGCTGTTCCCTCGGCTGACTTTTCAAACGCGGAATCGCGTGAGCAGAAACGTATCAGTTGATCGCTTACCTTAATGTGATAGGAGTTCAGCTTGGTGCGCGGCAGACTGTTGAAGGCGCTGAAGTCCAGGCGACGCGAGAAGATACCGTTTGCGCCGCAGCTTTGCCTGCGAAAAAAAAAAAAAATTCAATAAAATTGTTATCTACTCGTGTACGGTAATTGTATAAGGGAATCTAGGCTGAGAAAACCAGGGTGAAGAATTTTTGTCGACAAACCAACTGGAAATTCCGACAATAAAATTTCCACTACAGTTTATCGACGATAATACAGAACAAACAAGATACGAGCAATAAATAGAGGAAGAAGTTGAACCTCCTCAACGGGGACTACTATCTTCCGATGATATCACTTGTATTTTTAGTGCAAACGTAGCAAACATATTTTTTCAAAAAGTCTCCCCATAATGGTCCCTTCCCGTCTCAAAACGATGGGTTTAAAAATCTTGTATGGAAAAAATCGGAGTTCCTCGGCGTTTTTCTCGCAAACATAATAATTCCAGTCTTCCCTCGCTTGATCACCCTTCGTGTCATCGTGTAAGTCGAGGGTCGCGTTTAGGATTCCAGCTCTGTTGCTTGTCAAGAGAAAAAGGTCTACGCGTCGTGGAATATGAACCCTCCGCGAAAGGCAAGCAGAATTTACCCCGGAAGAACGTTCTACCCTCGACTCGGTGGCGCATCATGCCTTCGCGAGGCGCGAGACAAAATAAGAACCGTATTCAAACTCAATCTCGTCCCATCGAGACGCCTAACGCAAACAAATCGCGGAACATTAGTGGAATGTCAAACTCTTCTAAAGACGTGACACTTGTTTAAATTAAGCTTCATATACTACACTAGAACAGTAAAAAGTAATATTTATTTCCAACGAATCTTGGTCCATAGTGTAACGACTCGTTGCCTTCGTGGAAACACCAAAGTTCCGAGACAGAACTTTCGCGAAACAGTCAACAGTCGAGAGCGGAATGTATCCGGTGACGTGAATTTGCAAGCTCGAAATCGCTCCGACCGATAATTTCTGTAACATCTGCAGAAACGTCGACGGCTACGTGGCCACGAATAGAAGTATCGAAGTTTCACACACGGTCGACCCTGACGTCTGATTCTACCGAGTCTGCGACCGACGTCGAACTCGATAACAGATACACCTCCGATGGTTCGACTAAATTCGAGCGGAATGGATTTCGCCGTCCAAGTTCAGTCGCTACGGAATGGAAATCGACGGGGAGAAACTCTGCGATCGGTCCGTTTATATTCAATGCCTCGACCCGTGAACGATCAGGTAATTTTCGGAACTTCCAGTCGCCCTGACGTCGCTCGATAGTAGTCTCGGTGCCTCTCGACTCGGCATCGTAACTGATCCAGGCCTGCAGAAAACTCGGATGTTTCGAGTTGCTCGCGAGCCGAGTCTAGCTGAGACCCAGTTTTCGATCCGAGTCGAGTACTCGGAAGAAACGAGCAGCTCGAAGGAACCGAGTAGCCAGTAATACTCGGCTCGCGGCTCGGATCTAAACTGATCGGGCCCTAAAAATGTTGCATAGTATATGGTCAGGTGCGGTAGAAAAACACGGTCTGTATTTTCGGCTCCAGCACAACAAGCAAAGGTCGACACGATGGAAAGGAAGTTACGTCAGCGCCAGGAAGACAACAAGCCAAAGCAGCTACACGGTGAGGCAGTGTCAGGAGGCGGACTAACCAATGCCCGTTCATCGCGGTTTGGAAAGTGGGGAAGGACTGATGACCTTAACCTTGGCCTCTACCCGTGCGAGACCGTGCTTTATCGCCGTCCGTATTGGTGACTTTTGGCAATGTCAACCAGAGGTCACGAATATATTGCGCACCATCGTCGCATGCGACGGGCGCTCTTCTCGAGGTAAGCGATGATGCACGGTTGCATTATGCAACGCGATCCGCGGTATTCTCGGTGCGTTGACCGAATTCCGCGTGGATGGAAACGCGAAATGCTTCTTTTGGTATACAAGTGGATCTGCGCGTGTCACTCGAACCTGTTACGTTGGCGAGTGTGGTTGATCAATTCGAATTATTTAAGATGGGCGAATGTTTTTTATTCTCTTCGGCCAATTAGAGCGACGACATGCGTAACGTTGCCATGTTTATCGATACAACACAAGGGCTACCTTTCTAGAGGAAACCGTCAAGAAAATGAAGAATACTTTCTTCGACTATTACCCGAAGACAACGAAAAGACACCGTTCGAATTTTCATGTTAACATCATTATCTCCGAACATCACTGACGATTCGATATTAATTCGGAGCAACTAATTGCAGCATCGGAGTGGAACGATGCTGAAAAAAGGTGCCAAAGCGATCAATTTGCATAATTGCGCTCGAAAACTCGATGTTTACGTTCGATTGCGAAAGGCAGAGAGTACAAATACGGACACCGGTCGTCGTAATTAATTTACAACGACACCGAAAGCCCGCACTCGCGCGCCTCGTGTAGTTATCTTCAATCACCGGCATTTACACGTCGCCTCTCGTGCGCGTTCCGACTCTCGCGATGACTAACGCCGGTTGCGCAAGGTATCGACGCGAGGCGAGGGAATCAATAGAGTCATTATTTCGACGGGAATCACGGCGTCGCGTGTCCGTCCCCACGAAACGCGCCAACGAACGCTATCTTCTTCGTCCACGCGATTCCTGAAAGTCACCGCTGCAACCGAAACTCTTCGTTTTGTAACATTTTACTTTACGAACACGTTTCGACTCTACAGTTCCAATTCTGTCGAGTGCAAAGAAATCGCCGATCAGATTGCAATTTTAATTCTACTTTTACGTTCGTAAAATCTAATTCCCGCGGCTCCTTGGAGCATAATTCATGAAAAAGGGGGCCTCCGTCCTAAGAAATTTCCGAGCCATTAAGCCGACTACGATATACGCGTCGACGAGGGAAAAAAAAAGGACCGTTTCGCGGTTCAATTTATTATATATTCCGGTCTTGAACCGGTTTCTAAGCCACCCGGGCGCTAACATTATCGTGGAAACTCGATCAGTATGGCAGCAGTGCGTTTCAATCGGCAACGAAATTATTATCTAACCTTGATACGTCGACGGCCTACTGAAAAGGAAACTGCCTCTTTAACTGGCGTTTACAGTGTCCACAGGTCGTCGAAAATAAGATACGAGAGAGTACTATCCCATTAAGGGTTAGTTCTACAGTGGAGTCTAATAGCACACTAAAAATGCTTCGCCATCCTAAGAATTTTACCTGTTCCTACTACACCTTCGTTAATTTTTAACTAAGCGCCGAGTCGAGTAGCGCTACGAGGAACGCCAGCCGCGTTTCGTGGAACCGTCCGATTAAAAGGCTGTAAGTTCGGGACGGTAAATTACGAAAGAGGCACTGCTCGATAAAGACAGATAAGGCACGAACTGTGACGATGCACGCAGTCACGCAACGCGATACGTCCCCGCGTATACGCAAAGAGTTCGCCGTGTCCCATGGCATATACACAGGTGGACGTAGGCATTGCTCGGCGTCATTCATGCCGGCGCGCAACAAATCTACGATTACGAAAGACTTCCTAGAAATATAAACCGAGCGGCGGACCGATATGCGCCAGGCGTATCGCGCGGTCGTGTCAGGTTGCGAGAACCGATTCGATGGCGAATATCCGCATAATATACGGCTCGGGTTTCGAGATCGCTGCAGAAATATCGATCGAAGGGTTTAGGAGAGTTGGTCAAAATTGGAGAGGGCGGAGATAAGAACAGGCTCATAGTTGTTGTAAATATAAATTAATCGGGACGCCGTATAGAAGAAAAAAAACCTTTCAAACGACGTACTTTTATAACTGACTTTATTTCTCTCTCGTTCTGTATTCTTCCGCAATCTTTTACAATCTTTCTTTTCTTTCTTCGAATTCTTCTGCCGTTGCTCAGCATTTCGCTTGTTTATAAACACTCTCTCCCTCTCTCTCATTCGCACTCGTCTCACTCGCTCAACTTCACATTCATACATTGCGCGACTAAATTAAACAGTCTACATAGTTCGAACCTGGAAACGTCCGCTTGCGAACATACCGGTTTGTGCAATGACTTAATTTGAAGTGCCTTGTGCTGAATACCGTCAAGGCGATCGATCAGAACTTAGCTGAACTTAAACTACCCTCCATAGTCAAAATCGAAAGATAAGGAATTGCAATGAAAATGGTGATCCTGTCCCCTTGCGTTGAATCCAGGCAGATTAACAATATTGCGATAATGGATAACGAATTGCCGCAATCCACAAAGCACTCCCAAGGAAACAGGAACGTACTCGAACGAAGGTCGCGCACGCGTCTCGCAAAGTGATTTGCGAACCCGGTGCGCTGCCGCAAGGACGCGTGCGTTACACACATCCGGGCTGCAGCATGTTAGCTTTTCAAGGCCAAGCGGGCCCATCCTTGGAATTTTAATCAGTCCATTTGCCTATCGCTGCCGGGCTTTGTGGGGTGTCTCGTGTATTCGGTAACCAGCCATCCAAAATTCGACCCACCGCAGCTTCGCATTGCGCTCCTCCAAATATACGTTATACACCTTGAATATATTAATTCGCGGATGTTATAAATAATTATAAATAGTCGTGGTATACTTTCTTTTCGTAAGAGAAAATAAGAACCACTGCTCTGCTCTCGGGACGCGTTCTTTCTTCCATCTCTTTTTAGAGACGCAGAAGAAACGAGGGCCTGCGTAAACAAGCGGTTTATCGACTATAAATACACGGATCGAGTATGTACGCAGGTGTCACGCGTGCTACCCACGAGTTCTCGGTCGCGTGTGTTCCCGACGTCGATCTCCGTCGCGTCGACCGATTTCACGCTTGTAAACATCCGGTGTCGCGACCCGTTTTGTGCTCATTCCTGCGTAAATTTTCAGCCGTTATACGTTTTACACCTTGAATAAAAACGGTTCATCCCAAAGAAGTAGCAATTCTTTGTTTGGTACGAAGAGCCCGAGGAACGACCTGAAAGCCAAACTCGAAACGTGGAAATAATTTACGTTCTGGTAATTATACGATGAATTCTGACGGCGATGAGAATTAAATTTGTTAGATTTCTCGCGGGACATTAGCGGCACAGTGTTGCTAATGGCTAAGAATCACTGGAG